AACTAATAGTTGTAGGCAAGATAGAGGGAAAAAGATTTCGCGGACGATCGCCTAGTCGATGGTCGGACCAAGTAACCGCCGTTATGGGACTGTCAATTGCAGCTGTCTTGCGAGAAGCTGAAAACCGTGCAAAATGGAATAACATCATAATAGACGCAACAGACACCTTTCGTGGAAACGACCTTTAGTAATGAAGTGGACGAAGAGAGAGAGAAAGAGAAGTTGCATAAATAAAATTATCACATATTCGTAGTTCTATTTATGCTTATAGGAGATAATCATCATTTACCGGTCAGTCAGCTTATTTGTCATTAAGTTTAATTTAGAACATTTATAAAATAGCGTCATATACAGATAAACATTTAGGTTCTCACCTGCAAATGCTATCTAGAGCTAACATAAAGTTCAGTATAGATGACATTAAAGCTATTCGTGGCACATCTCAATGGAATTCACACGTATCCGATAAATACGTTCTATAAACGACCCACCATTAAAATCTGAGTGGATTGCTAAGTTCTAAGCTGTATTGCATATCTCTAAAGCGCATAGGAATCTTGCATGTTATTAGCAGTTATATTTGAACAATATATTATACTATTCTAGCTTAGCTGTAAATATATTCAAATTGTCTACTTATTATTTATTAATATTAAACTAGGTTATTTAAGGGGTAGATTAGGGGAAGGTAGTAGAGAGACGTACTGTTTTTTAGTACCAAAGGCTTCTACTTATACATATTTCCTTTTATTGCTTCATCCACAACTCGTCTCATGCATGACTTAACTCTTTCCTCGGGTAGCACACATTCTATCTGATCAGTATCAAAATAAACTGTAGGTTAGTCTAAAACTTCTCCGACCCCCATATTCTTATATTCGTATCGTATATTTGATTCGCCATCTTTTCATCTTTCCATATACTCAAAGTATATGGAAAGATGAAAATCACATCTTTTTTCATTTTTATGGCGAAACTTTCGCTTTAGATCCTTCTTTCTGATTAATATATTTTTACTCGGCTACGGAGTAAAAATACAATTATCATATCTCCCTTTAGCTCCTTTTCATTCCCAAGATGTCGTAGAAGGGGCAACTGAAAGAATAAAATTAAATACAACAAAACCAAGACAAGGAATGCTCGAAATAAAACCCGACGGTCGGTTTCACCTCTTATTAAAATAAATCATAGCTCATCAGTAAAACTAAAATAATGTTCCTTTCAGATTCATCATCATCATCTTAGCCATTATCCGTCCAGTACTGAACATAAGCCTCCCCCATAGACTACCATAAAGAACGGTCCTGAACCATCTGCACCTATTAACTTTCTGCAAGTTCGTATAGATTTCCCACACAAATCTCGTGATATTTCTGAAATCCATAGGCATACAGGCCACATTCTTGTTAACACCATTAACACTAGTATAAAAAAAACATCTCCAAAGCAAAGTTGCTTAAAGTGTAGCGTCTGTGGAGAATCGCGTCACCATGACTTCCTCTTCAGTATTCATGCCATAAACGATTCTATATCATCATAAATAAAGGCGTTTATCGTTATATACGTATGAATATAAAATGATACGGCATGAGGAAACTAGGTAATGGTGTTTGGCATAATATAATGGTATTACTAACACTGCGAACAACATTACTGCTAGTCATTATTTAAACAGTAATTGCAAAATTCTGTGCGGACTGTTTTACAAATGTTCGGTGTGTTCCATTGTACTACTGTTGGTTTTATGCTGTGTACAGCTATTATAACTTCTAAATGATGTACCAAACAACATCTACATTAGGATAATTTACTAGCGTGGTGAAAGCAGTATATTTTACTGAACATATTTAAATGCATCGTCGCAGGGACAATTCCGTATTTTGTTTCCGTGTATGTTTTTTGTGCAACGCAATCTTAAATTGTCTTTTGTTTTACAATCAAAAACATTTGCTCCCGTATTGATTCCATGAATTTTATCACGCTCTATTGTTATATTTTTATTTACATACGAGTATCTTATGTTATTTATTTACTTAAAACCGGCTATGAGAATTATTGATGATCCCAAACTCGCATGAGAATGCCTCTTTTTATGTATTTTAGCACTTACATAATGGACTGTACTTTGAGGAATTGTTCGAAATATTGTCCACATTTACCACTTTTTGTAATGACATTGCTTGCCATCAACAATGAAATCATCCTCTCACGCTAGAACCTAAATGTTCATGTACATTGTGGTTTCTGTTTTCTGCCGCGAACACTCAGACTGTGGAATAAGCTCCCTGCTGAGGTTTTTCCTAAAAAACGACACATACCCTGAGCTTCTTAATATTTTTAAATTCATATTAACTAAAATTAATTTTTAATACGAAATAGGTATACATTGTACATACAAATACTTACATCATTCATTAACTCATTACAAACTCCCTTTAAAATTACAATTAATAATAATTTACTTTACTGTTACCACTTTCCATCAGGTGGGCCGTCAGCTTGTTTGCCATTCTAAGTTGTATAAAAAAAATTAAAAAATATAATATCTTAATATTTTAAATTAATATTGTATATAAATAGAATTAGATTTAGTACACATACAACGCACATATATTTAAATTATTAAAAAGTTTATTCTAAAAACCCTTTAAAATATACTATTGATGATATTTTAATTATATTAATCTTGATATTGAAAAATTAATCTCGCACGTAATTAACTAAAATTAACTAAAGACTTGGTGCTGAGTGCGTACAGAACGTAAGAATACATCTCACGAACAGCCTTTAAAATTTGCTGTTACGACACTTATATTAGGTGCCTAACCAAATTAATTAAGTAATATATTGAAAGGCCCATAAACTTAGTAACGATGGTTGACGAAATTAATATCTTAAAAGACGGCATGAACGTTTGAAGCTGGGCTATTAAATGCTGTTATTCTAGTGATGAAAATTAATTTCCTTCATTAAATTTACATATTTTACCGATTAAATACAAAGTTGGCCTGTCAACTCGAAAACAATATGAATTATGGCGGCGACTGAGTGTTTTAAGTTTGTTTTAAGACCGGGTTAATAGAATGTATAACAACAAAAGTCGAGTTAACTTAATTTGGTAGCGCTTTTTTTAACATTTTCAGAGAAAAACGTTTTTCTCCTTTGTACTTACTAAAGAAAATAAATAGAAGATTAGTAATTTTTTTTTTTTTATTTAAGTAAACTTAATTGTAGTATTTTTTAATAGTCAATACTGTATGTACAGCCCAATTCTGTAAACATATTTCTTTTCTTTGGCCTTTTTTTTTTAATGGAAGTAGAATTATGCAAGTAATGTAAATACAAACTACTAAATAGTACTGGATCATAGAAAGAGTTACTTTCTTCCATATGTCGTACAATGACCATGTATGGTCGTCGAGTCAATATGTCCTATCTATGTACTTTACCTGTTTATCAGTTATTGTCTCCAGTAATTATTCTATGACTATGTGACTAGGACTTACGACTAAGAACAAGGACTAGGATGCCACCAATAAGATTAAAAGGGACGCTCTCACCAACCTATTAGTTTTTATGAAAATCCCGGATACTCGTTTTATAACACCATACTATACTCTTTAACCCTTTCAGAACTGGCGTGCACAATTGTAGACATAAAATATAATTTAAAAAATAAATATTAAACTCTCAAGCTTTCCGATTGAAAAGGGGTTGTATTCATTTGTTCACTAATAAACTACTCAATTTAATACTACTTACGCCATTTCTTAGCATATTCTAGCGTTTTTCGACAAGTTGCGACTAGTGTCCGTGCGTGATTTGAACTGTACAAGTAAGCTTTATATTTTATTTAAAAAAAATTAAATTAGTGCATGAAATCATCTGGAAAAAATATAAACGGATATCTAATATCATTGGGGTCATGTGTAACGTAATATTTGTGTATTTTTTTATTACCTTATATTGGTAATCTCGATTTTTATATTTGTGCTCAATTGTTCCCATTAGGATTTAACTGAGTTTTTCTCATTGTTCACGGTTTTTTAAGAAAATATGTTTGTTTATATTTTTAACGTTTTTCTAATCATGTTTCTAAGATAAATATATAAAATTAATTATGATATTGTTTACTTATATTTTCAGATGCAAAAACACCAATATGTCCTCATTGGAGGCGTTACAAGCATTAGATGAAGGAGATCTTTCTGACTTATTATTATCATCTGATGACGAAGATAATTATTATGGAGATTCAATTCGTCCAGCAAATTGAATCTAGCAGCTAATGCTAGAATTAGCGCAGATGTTATTCACTAAAACTGAAGGGAGTTTTTTCCACCTGCATTAGATGACAATGAAGGACCTAGCGAATTGTATGACGGCGTCCCTGCTTTACTTTGACAATTATTTTTCATCATACCATTTACTACAAATCCTAAAACAAAAAGGTATTATGGCCGCATGCACAGCTCGTGTTAACAGATTTGTTAAATCACCGTTTTTAAGTGACAAGGTAACAAATAAGAAGCCTAGGGGTTTTTTTCAAGAAGTATATAGCAGAGACGGAGATGTAACTGCTGTAAAGTGGTTGGACAATAAGATTACCCATTTGGCTTCCAATTTTGTTGGTATAGGTAACAAGGACTTAGTAAAGAGATGGTGTAAAAAAAAGAAGCGATATATTGAGGTTGCGCGACCTGAGGTCTAAAGCGCTATAATCATGCAATGGGTGGCGTTAATCTATTAGATCAACTTATGAGCTATTACAGAATATTTATAGAATCAAAAAAATTGACTCTACGTATGATATTTTATGCATCGGATGTGGAAGTTCTTCAGGCATATCGAGAATACTAAATAGATTACGACTTATAACGGCACACCTAAAAAGCAAGGACTTATTTTACTTTCGTCATCGCTTGGCTGACAGTTTGGTGCTACAAGATAAATGTTCTACCACCAAAAGAGGTCAAGCAAGTAGCAATAGTAGCTCAAGGATGCAAATTATACCAAGAAGGCCAGGAGAGATTCGCCCTGCAGCTGAAATAACTCGTGACGGTGTTGGGCATTTCCCTACACATGACGATGGAACTGGGACTAGGTGTAAAATGGTGAGATGCAAGGGAAAATTCCGTGTAAAATGCAAAGTTCATTTATACCTAACCAAAGACAAGAATTGCTTCTTGATATTTCACACAAAGTGTTCGCGCGTTTCTTTAATTTTATATATTTTTCGTAACAATTATAAATTTATTCTCATTATATATGCTAGTTCAATAATAATAATCGATACCTAGTGCTAAATTCATTTCCCTTGATCCTATCCTCTCCAATCACCGTCATCGTCTTTACCTCCGAGTTATAACAACCAATGAGGACGCTGGAAGATTATAAGAAACTTCAGAGCTGTCTTCAATCCTAACCGTCAATGTGACCTCCGCAATCAACGAGTAATTACGTGTTTAAGAAAATATTAATAAAATTGTTGTGCTGCAAACTGTAACATTTAAAGCGTTGCCGCTTACATAATTTTGAAGTGCTGTGTTATAGACAATATTTTAGTGTGTGTACATTGGTGACAAAGTGACGGAAGGAATCAAGGCGCCTGCACAGGACATCATATGATAGCCCACGACAAGACGGTGAGTCCTCAAATCCTTTTCGTTATCCCTGCCACACCTAGATTTCTCCTATAAAACCCACCATTTGATGGTACCTATCGAACCGGAATTAAAAAAAAAAAAAAAAAAAAAAAAAAAAACTAGCTTGAACTAGCATTTCATCATCTTAATATTACACGGCATCCGCCATTTTGTACCCTCTTAATAATTAATCGCATCCGCCCACCAGCACAACGTGTTATTATTTCTATTATTTTCTAATTCACAACCGCTAAAATACATATCCTAGTTTATATTCAATACCGCAGTAATAATTAACCGCTTTACATATATATAAAAAAATATATATATATATATATATATATATATATATATATATATATATATATATATATATATATATATATATATCTACCTTTTCTATATCAATATAAACCGCGTAAATATAATTAGTCACATTCATCGCTAAAACCGCATTGTTCTTTATATGCCTACATACCAATCGCAATATTTCTTTAATACCGCTACATACCTGTCGATTTTATTTTCGAGTACTGGTAAGCCGCATCTGTGTACCCACATACTTTTTTATTTCATTTGTCGGTAGTTCATTTTTTATTTCGTTTAATTCATCAAATATCAAATCAAATATTCATCAAATTTTATATCTAACGCTAATTGTCATCTCTAAAAATGAATGCAAAAATTTCTATATTAAACGCTAAAATTAATTGTATTTTCCAACGTATAAATAGACTGCATGATTCGGCAAAAAAGGTAAACGTTTCTAGTCCTGAGCTTCGTTCTACGGAGGCGTTCATGGCGGACACAGAAACATTGTCTGTGATTCGTGATGAATTTATTGCTAATATAGATACGATAAATCAATATAAAATTGATGAGGATCCTACGTATGTACCTAATTATTCTCAACTTACCGCATTTGAAGATATTTATACGCGAATTCAAAGAGTTCGTTCTCAATTGATGCAATCGCAGTCGCAGGGCTCTCGGATGAAGGTCCAGGAGGGAAGGTCAGGGATACCCCTCCCCCTATTGAGCTTAAATCGTTTAATAGCCAGGTTGAGCTTTGGCCAAGCTTCTACGAGTGTTTCAAGATTAATGTACATGATAATGAAGGTCTATCTGATTCACAGAAATTACATTATCTGTTGGGTAAATTGTCAGGTCCTGCTTTAAAACTGACGGCCGGTATTGTACCAGCCGGAGAGAACTACGCTAGTATTTGGCAAAGTTTAGTTAATAAGTACCAAGACAAACGAGCATTAGGATCTCATTACATGTCTATTTTAATGAATATAAAACCTGCTATTAATAATGCTGCTTCGCTTGACACGTTTATTGAATCGTTTAGCGCCGCGGTGTCGGCCTTAGAACAGCTAAAAATTACCGATCTTAAAGATTTCATGCTATTAACTATTGCTTTACGAAAAATAGACTCAGTAACCGCACAGGCATTTGAAATGGCAATTAGAGATAAGGAAATCCCTTTTTATTCGGAATTTGTCGAATTTATTAAAGGTCAAGTAAAGATATTAGATCGTACTAGTAACCGCCCTACGGTTATACCTACCGTAGCCAGCCCGCGTCATAACAATACAGTCCACTACTCTAAAACTTTGCTATCACGTGATAATATCGAATCTTGTTCAATGTGCAACAATGGTGATCATTTGCAATTATACCAATGTACAACCTTCAAATCGCTTCCGGTCGAACAACGTTTTGAGTTTATCAAAAACAAACGTGCATGTATAAATTGTTTGAGTATGTCACATACTGTGTCGCGTTGTAATTCTTCGCATTACTGTAAAATGTGTAACAAACAACATCATACACTATTACATAAAACTAGTCTGAGCAATAAATTAAATAATCGAAAACAACCCTTTACGCCGCCGTCCTGCTCGCACGCATTACTTGCAGCGCCGTCGGTTAGCACAGCTGAGGTTCCCGCTCATACTTTGTGTAATTGCCCCGCGCACCCGCCGCTAGCGGTAACCCCGCCAATCGCGCAGCTCCCGCCGCCGACTCAGCTGACTCCGTGCGTTAATAACCAAGTTTCATTGTGTGCCCGCGCGCATGTTATTAATAACAACAATACAATATTGCTTAGCACGGCACAGATAAACGTTTTAAATGATTGTAAACAGAAGTTAAATGTTAGATGTCTTATTGATAACGCGTCACAAAACCATATCGTGACAACCGCTTGTTGTAAACGCCTTAATTTAAAACCAATTCCACTTAATGTACATACATCTATTAAAGGTATAGGATCCGCATCGCAGACCGTTCGCGGTTGGGTTCCGCTGTGTGTTTCTTCTAAAAATAACTTGTATAATTACACTATTGATGCGCTTGTCGTCGACGTCATAACGGAGAATATGCCTTCCGTCATGATCGATGCAACGATTATTAGTAGTTTATTAAATATACCGCTTGCTGATCCACTATGGCATACGCCTGGACAGATTGAACTCGTACTTGGGGCTCAATTGTTCCCATATTTATTATTAGGTGGTAAAATTATTGCACCTCCCGCACCGGCCGCTATTGAAACCGTATTCGGATATATTCTTATAGGGGAAGTCGCCTCAACCGCTGACTCCGATACGGCACCCGCCTCTTCAACATTTCTCATATGTTCGGAACAGGAAACACAAAATGATAATTTAGATAAAACATTATGTAAATTTTGGGAACTGGAAGAAGTTCCTTCAAAAAGGTTTATGAGTCCGGAGGAGACTGAATGCGAGCAAATATACTGTGACACAATTTCACGTGATTCTACGGGTAAATATTGTACCTCACTGCCATTTTCTAAGGATCCCTCCATATTGGGTGATTCCCGTTCTGTAGCTACTCGTCGCTTACTCTCTTTAGAACGTAAATTGAAAGATCCTGTTCTTCATGCTAGTTACAATGAGATCATACAAGAATATCTTATCAACGATTACCTATCGGAAGTTCTGCCCACTAGTAACGAATATGGTAAAGGGTATTACATACCTCATCACCCCGTCATTAGGAATGATAAAGAGACGACAAAATTACGCATAGTCCTTGACGCAAGCGCCAAGTGTCATAATGACATATCTCTAAATGATATATTACATACGGGACCCAACTTACAAGCCGATATATTAATTCTTTTATTGAACTTTCGCTTATTTCCTATTGCACTAACCGCCGACATAAAACAAATGTATCTAAGAATCGAAGTTCGTAAGGAACATAGAAAATATCAAAAGATATTGTACCGTTTTAATTCTACAGAGCCTATTCGTGAGTTTCAGTTTAATCGTGTCGCGTTCGGGCTGCGATGCAGTCCATACCTAGCCATGCGTACTGTTAGGCAGTTGGCAGAAGATGAGAGGACCGGGTACCCGCGTGCAGCTGATGTAGCGACTAATGAACTGTATATGGACGATTTGGCTACCTCCGTCTCGACATTTAAGGAAGGAGTGGTTTTGTCACGCGAACTCATTGCATTATTTAAGGAGGGCGGCTTTCATTTGACTAAATGGGCGAGTAACTCTGTGGATCTTTTATCTGCTGTTCCTGAATCTAACCGAACCGCTATTAATTTTTCGAATAATGATAGTATAAAAATACTCGGATTGAAATGGCTTCCCTCTGAGGATGTGTTTACTTTTTCAACATGCTCTATAGACGAGAAATGTACTAAACGTACTATCCTCTCGGCTATTGCCCGTCTATGGGATGTTTTAGGATTCGCTGCACCAGTAATTCTTTTTGCTAAACTTTTAATACAAGAATTGTGGATCCAACACATTGGTTGGGATGATGCTCCACCAATGGATATACAAACAAATTTTCATAATTTTATACAACAATTAAAACATCTCTCTTCGTTGAAGATACCTAGACACGTTAATGTGGAAGTTGGTTGTACTACCAACATAGTTGCATTTTCCGATGCCAGCATGAAGGCGTATGGATGCGTAGTGTACCTACACGTCACGGATCCGATAGGTAAAGTGCATGTCGCTTTAGTATGTGCAAAATCTAAAGTCGCACCTACAAAAACGGTAACTCTTGCTAGACTGGAATTATGTGCTGCTGTTTTAATGTCAAAACTTGTAAAGCTGGTCTTAGACACGTATAATTCCCGCATTAATATTAATAAAATCTTTGCATTTTCCGATTCACAAATCGCCCTTTCATGGATCCATTCTTCACCACATAGGTGGAACGTTTTTGTAAGTAACCGCGTAGCAAAGTGTCAAGAAAATCTTGCCTCTTCGCATTTTTATTACGTAAACACGACAGATAATCCTAGTGACTGTCTGTCTAGAGGTTTATTACCTGACCAGTTGATATCGCATCCTTTATGGTGGCACGGTCCCGTCTGGTTACAGCGCCCTCTGGCCGAATGGCCAATATCTCCATTTAAACCAGTGAATTGTGAGCAGTTACCTGAAATAAAAAGTAATACCCTTACCTGTACTACCTCCGCCCCCGCCTCTATATTACACCAGCTTGCGCTGAAGTTCTCCTCCTGGAATAAAATATTACGCATTATTTCATATATACTTAAATTTACAAAATTAATACCGTGTAGTACTCGCATCATGTCTTCACATTTAAACGTCGCAGAAATGCATCTTATTCGCGGAGTTCAACAATTATATTTTCAATCGCTTTTTCAAGATATACATAAAAATAACTTACCTTCATCACAATTTCGTAAACTTGACCCCTTTATCGATGAAAGTGGAGTTATTAGAGTAGGAGGAAGATTATCTAATAGTAACTTACCTTTCGAAGCTCAGCATCCCGCATTACTGCCTAAACATGATCATATTACTCACCTGCTTATAGACAATTATCACCGTATGTACTGTCATACTGGTGCTTCATTATTGACTTCATTACTACGACAAAAATATTGGATTATATCAGCCAGAAGTGTAATTAAACAAAGAGTCCACTCCTGTAACAAGTGTTTTAAAGCTTCTCCATCAAGCAAGGCGCCAAAAATGGCGGACTTGCCTCCGTACCGCGTGCGTGAAACGAAAGCCTTTGTGCACACCGGCGTGGATTACGCTGGACCTATAAAAATAACGTTACGCAGACACCGTGGTCAAAAGTCACAAAAGGCTTACATTTGCCTATTTATTTGCCTTGTAACAAAAGCCGTGCATATCGAGTTAGCCACAGACCTTTCATCTGATATATTCATTTCTGCCTTTAAACGCTTTATATCACGGCGTGGACCGGTCTCATGTCTTTATTCTGATAATGGAACAAATTTCGTTGGTGCAAAAGCTCAACTCCATGATCTTATGCTTAATAACCGTATTGAATGGCATATGATCCCGCCCCGCGCCCCTCTCTTCGGGGGGGCTTTGGAATCAAATATTCGAAGTATAAAAACCCATTTATTCCGTACAATCGGTTCTCAATTACTCACGTACGAGGAAATGTTAACTGTTTTAACACAAATAGAGACAATTTTAAATTCAAGACCTCTCTGCGTACTAACGGAGGAACCGTATCCTGAACCGCTAACTCCTGCGCATTTCATTATGGCCTCCCCCCTTTTGCACTTACCCATTGAAAACGTATCCGAGGACATTCGAAGTCTTAGACAACGTAAGCAGCTACTTGATAATATAGTTAGCAGTTATTGGAAAAGGTGGCGTTTGGAGTATCTTAATACTTTACAGGTACGACAGAAGTGGCTTGCTAATACTGAAAATATAAAACCCGGCACGGTTGTGTTAGTACATCAAGACGATGTACCTCCATTGCGTTGGCCTATGGGCATAATTATGGAAACTTATCCCGGGACAGACGGTAGGGTACGCGTCGCGTTAGTAAAAACATGTAGTGGCATATACAAACGTCCCGTAATAAAACTTTGCTCTTTACCATCTCAATAATTTAATTAAATCTTCTCAAATTCTTATTTAATATATTACTAGGTTGAAAATACTACGTATTCTCAAGGCTGGGTGCATGTTCGCGCGTTTCTTTAATTTTATATATTTTTCGTAACAATTATAAATTTATTCTCATTATATATGCTAGTTCAATAATAATAATCGATACCTAGTGCTAAATTCATTTCCCTTGATCCTATCCTCTCCAATCACCGTCATCGTCTTTACCTCCGAGTTATAACAACCAATGAGGACGCTGGAAGATTATAAGAAACTTCAGAGCTGTCTTCAATCCTAACCGTCAATGTGACCTCCGCAATCAACGAGTAATTACGTGTTTAAGAAAATATTAATAAAATTGTTGTGCTGCAAACTGTAACATTTAAAGCGTTGCCGCTTACATAATTTTGAAGTGCTGTGTTATAGACAATATTTTAGTGTGTGTACATTGGTGACAAAGTGACGGAAGGAATCAAGGCGCCTGCACAGGACATCATATGATAGCCCACGACAAGACGGTGAGTCCTCAAATCCTTTTCGTTATCCCTGCCACACCTAGATTTCTCCTATAAAACCCACCACAAAGATAAAGTTTTTTTTTTCCTAATTATTGTTCTTACTGTGTTTTTGTATTTGTACCAATGACTGATTATGCCAAAAAACTAATAAATATTTATTTTATCTCATAGAAAAAATTTAACTACGTTAATTCATTTATAATTTTGTAATAAAAATGTTTTAAAATTAATATTATTTCATTTCAGAACAACTTCGCATACCTTATTCTTATTACTATGTAGGACGGGAGTCCACATTTGTGCACATTAAGAAAAACTAGATTTCCTCGAAAAATGTAAAGCAATTTTTTTTTTATTTATTTTTTTTATACGCTCCTTATTATACTTAAGACACATGGAATTTACCAAATCCATCGGATGAAAAAAAATAATTCAGTTCTGAAAGGGTTAAGGGACCCATATTTTTTGATAATATATTTAAAATAGTAATCCTACCTGCGTCTATTTACTTACTTATATCGGTATACACCGGCGAATATGTAATAAGTCAGTAATTATAGATAATTTAGGTCATCGTGACGAATTCACGAGAGGGAGACTTTGTACAAAAGTTGATTGCTTGGGTAACTCTGTCCCATTCGTGTTTCTACTATGAGACAGTTGTGTTTGCATGGCTGTGTTTCGGTTTGAAGGATGGGATATGGCGTGAATTTACAGGGTACAAAGGATAAATACCTGAGTCCTCAGGAATAGCAACGTATGGGAGGTATCATGGGCGAAACAGTATACTCTGTTATGTCCATGGTACTGCTCATGTCTATAGGCGACGGTTACCACTTTCCATCAGGTGCGCCGTCAGCTTGTTTGCCATTCTAAGTTGTATAAAAAAATTCACTACGATAGTTCCCAGGGGACCGCGTAAAGGTCGACTCGATAGAATAAATTACAATCTCATGAAAAACATAAAATGTAAAAAAGTTCCAAGCCTCGCAACGCAATTCTTCCACTATAAAAAGTTGTGCAATCCCTAACTCCCGAAGTAGGTATGAAAAACCTGTGTTTCAGGAGTTAGTGCCCTCTTCCATATGTTGTATTACATTTTAGTGAAACAAATAATATGAAACAGAGTAGTACTAAATACAAGAGAGCCCATAGTTTTAAAGTATTATATTCTTTCGTCCAATGTGTGAGTAAAAATGTTAACCTTGTTAACATTGTTACTCACACATTTTTAAATCTTCGGATTTTGAGGGAACATGCCATATCATCGTAGATAATCTACGTCAAATTACACTCAAATCTGTTCAGTTTTATCATAAAAGAATGACAAATATCCACTATTGATTTCGACTTGATAGTTTCCATTATTCTACAATACAAATTTAAATAGATAAAAATCCTTTTTAAACAAGTGGCTCAATAAATGCAATTCATGTCCATCAATAAAGATTACAAAACCAAATAAAGCCGATTAAAGTTGATTTTTTTTAGAACAGTACCCCGCTTGTTGTTTCCACACTTCTAAATTCGCTACACGATTCCGCTTTCTAAATTCAAATATTTTAAATGGAATGTATAAAACGAATCTATGAATCGTCGCTGTGCATATTAATCCTTTTAAAGTAAAAATAGTGAGATTGAAAATGTAATATTAATTTTATCACGATAAAAGTCACCGTGTTTTACAAAGCGGCATCTATTTTGTTCTCTCTTCACGTTGCAAGAGGAGCAAGTTTCAATGAACAAAAGGTATAAGCAAAAATTATTTCATAGCAATCCTGCATCTTAAGAGCTATTGGCAAATGTTTACTTTTATATATCCAAGATAATAAATATAAAAAAAAATATTTCCTGGCCTTACATTATATAGATAGTGTCTTTATACAAATGCTTAGGTAAAACGAGTGAACTTTTTCATACAATTTTGCATATTAAATAATTATGATTCTTTTATAACTTCTATATTTATTTTGTCTTATAATTTATGCATCTTTTTCATTTGTAAACACTTATTGTATTTATTAAACAATACGTCAAATTACATTTCATGCGTAAGTATATAAAACACTGATAAAAATACGAGTCAATTATTTTGACAATTTTGACAAAAAGTTGGCTCGGGTTTGAGGCTCGATTCTCTATCTATATAATCTAAAATCCCGGCATAAAATAGACCGCCCCTTGGTCACGCTAGACTTGTTTCTAGACTAACCGGGATCCTCAAACTTCTCAACTAAAATACACATACGTTAATCCGGGTATTCTCACATCAAAATATAAGGTAGATTGTATATGTATATAATGTGAAATCCTTTTAAATTATTCGAATTGAACCTATCTTTTAGAAGTTACGATAATTTTTTTTTTATTTTATCGTTCGTCCAAGTACTAAATGTAAGAAAAATGTCATGGTGTGAGTGAACAGCCTTATGTTTAAAATTGTTGCGTTTAGTATAAATTTTTACAAATATTATAAATTTAAAAGTAAGTTTGTTTATTTGTTATCCATAGCGCCTTAACAGCTTAACCAATCAACATAAAATTTGGTATACACGTATTGTAAAGGATGGAAAACCAAACAAAGGGAGACTTAGTACAAAAGTGGTTTGCGTGGACACGGCTGTCCCAGTCGTGTTTCTACTGTGAAGCATTATGTTTGCATGCCTACGTTTCGGTTTGAAAGGTGGGATATCGCAGTGAATTTGTGTGTACAGAACAGTACAGAAGTGGGTACAGAGGATTAACACCTGAGTTTTCAGAAATGGTAACGCATGAGGAGTATCATGAGCGAAACAGTATACTCTGTTATGTCCATGGTACTGCTCATGTCTATTGGCGACGGTTACCACTTTCCATCAGGTGGACCGTTAGCTTATTTGCCATTCCAAGTCGCATAAAAAAAATAAGGATATAAATTACTTTTTATCCCGGTCACGCGAACGAATTTGCAGGTTAAAGCCAGTGTTTAATAAAAGATGGCATTATCTACCTTTCGCAGATAAACCACATATAATCGTTAAAGCCGATCACATCGGGACATCATTTTTTTATTTCCTCCATTGATGACATTACCTACGGGAATCAATATCCTAATAACATTTTTTATCCATTTGCGTACTCCCTTTTATTACATTCAATATAATATCCCAATACAGGAAACAAGTACAGTAAACTCTGAGGTCAGTCCGACTTTATTGCTACCTCCAAAATATGGCTCCATAACATGCCGCGTCCCAAAAGATCGTAACTGTTAAAATGTAAATATCTTCCCAAGGTTTTGCCATAAGTTCCATTTATCTGGGGCGAGATCTTTGCGCAACCTTTCGGGGGGCATTCGTTCGGTTCCACCGACGAAATTCTTCGGGGATTCCTAAAATCTAGTACCGTTTTATATCAAAGAGAAAGTTTTGGGTTAACTTCGAGCTGTGTCGTTGCTACGCGGTGATTTACTCACACAAATTCTCTGTTGTAATATCAAGCTATTCGTTTCTCTTTTTAAACGGCTTCTACTAATACTTTTTTTGTGGCTATATTACGACGATTATGTTGCCAGTTCTGAATAGTTACGTCTCCAATTTTAATTTGATTTTGTCAATTCTTTTAACAATTGACAAAAATGTTTTTTTTTTCGTATTAAGAGTGTTCGCAACAAAACATGTCAATCAATCAAAATTGATTATTTAAAAAATGTTCTGCTAATGGCAGTTGCATTTATTTATTTAAGGAACACCAACAGCATATTGCATTATAACATATAGGTATAACAAACACTAAATATAATACAATATTAATGCACATGCCTATTATAGGTATTCACAGCATTCACTTTGACATAATTACATTTATAAATTTACTACTAAAAACTTTGCACCTACTTAATAATTTGCTTCAAAATGTTTCAAATGCATTTATTGCATTCAAAATCTAAATTATCAACGACAACTTAATAATTTTTCTTTATGAAACACAAAGCAACTTGTCACGATGCAAAATTTATTTGTACATACAATTCTGCATTCTAAAATCAAATATTTTCAAATTAATGTGTCTATGAAACATAAGGTCGTTAATTTCTTTAGTGAGTTCATGACTATTGAAATCAGTATCTTTTTTTTTCAAGAGTAAAATGCACTTATTAGATATCTCATCTTACTTCTAATATAATAAAACTATAACTGAATGATGTTGGTATATGGAAGATATTTAAAAAACTATATGTATTTAGTTTAATAAGAACTAAAATAATAATTTTTAGACCTTTTGTCTGTTTGTTTGTTCCGACATCACGTAAAAAGTGCTGCACCATATAAGTCTCCCCCATTAGGGGACTTTGCCAGTAGTTGCCAAGCTTAACAGGCGGGTTGGTAACCGCAGTTAGACTTTTAGTGATGTTTTAAGGGAGATGCAGCTGCCCATCCCTCAACCATTTAGTTCCTTTAATCGCCTTTAAGACATCCACGAGAAAAGAAGAGGAGGCCCATTCTACGCAGGGACCACACGACAATATACTTCATCAATTCAATTTATTCCATAACAATATTACATTGTGTTGAATATGATAATTTTAAGATTATATAAGTATAAAATCACACACACACACACACGCATATATATATATATATATATATATATATATATATATATATATATATATATATATATATATATATATATATATATATACTGCTAGTCCTCATTACCAATAATCCTTTTTCCCTCGATAATTGCAATCTTAAATACCTAACAAGCCGAAGGCCCACCTGATGGAATGTGGTAACCGTCACTTATAAACATGAGCAGTACCATGGACATAACAGTCAGTAGTATCAACACTGTTTCGCCCATGATACCCCTCATGCTTTGACATTCCTGAGGACTCAGGTGTTATTCTTCTGTACCTTGTAAATTCACTGCCATATCCCACCCTTCAAACCGAAACACAGCCACGCAAACGCAACTGGTTTTTCACGGTAGAAACACGAATGGGACAGAGGTGCCCAAGCAAACGACTTGTGTACAAAGTCCCCCTCTGGTAATCCATACAAATGTATATACAATTAATAGATCTTACGAAATACTTGGATACAATTTATAACTTCAAGAACATCTGTTTATTTCATTAATTTTCTATTTTAACATTGATTTGTTTGAATATTAACATTTCAGTTGGCCCTGGAGCCTTGAGCTTTATGTATAAATTCAGTAAACAGTCGTCCAACTGTTACTACGAAGTCTTCCAATTAAAGTACATCAAAATCTAACTAAAGAGCTATAAATATTTATTAAATAAGTTCCTCTGTAAATATTACGCTGCGATATTTTCTATTCTGTTCTAGAATAGGAATTTTAATATTGGAATACTGAAAAAATATGCTTTTATCAAATGAACGAGGAAATGGAATTTTTTTCTAAAAAAATCCATCGAGTGACTTAATAGACTTTTCGTCAAGAATCTCTTGTATATTTTTACTTATAATATTAGTGAGTTTGTTTGTCTGTTTATTTCTTACATCTTTTCCGCCTTAATAGTTTAACCAATCGATATACAATTTGGTGTACATGTACTATTTTATTTTGTAAGGAATAAGAAATAAGTCACTATTTATTCCACTTTATCAATATAGCCCAATGGGGGGAAAGGGATTGTTAGTAATGGAGACTGAGAATCCCATTGCTAGCAATATACCCAACCAGGTTGACCTCCTCGCAGTTCCCTCTGGAAACTATCATGGTTAATTAATACCATTTTCACCCATCAAAAAAAAAATATAGCCCAATGATTAGATTATATTGATGTCTTATATATTGACTATCGAGGGTAAAAGCTAGTTATATAGTAAACGTGAAAGTATGTTTGTTTGTTACATAGTGGCTCTTTAGGACACTTTTTTTTATTTAATAATACACCTACTATTTGTGACAAAAAAGAACAGCATTTTCATGCTGATAAATAAATATTTTTTATATACAACAATGGCGGTATACCTTTTTGAAATGCCCCAAGCTTTAATCTGTGATATAATATATATATATATATATATATATATATATATATATATATATATATATATATATATATATATATATATATATGTACATACAAAACTCAACAAATGGGGGCAATAAAAACATTACCCCCATTTGTTGAAGATTCGAGTAATAACATAAAACACTATTAAATTCCCCAGCCGTTTGGTAAATACCCGTTTTGTTGTATTCTCTAGTTGGTATTTGTAATGGAATCGAGGCACTCCGACGCGATTAACTGAATAATAATTACGTTATTATTAAATTCCATAATATTGAAGTTATTTTGCATGCTAGAATGAAATATTAAGGAAGCAAGCAAGCGTAGCTGGTTATGTTCTTATTTGATAGCCGTGTATTAACTTGCAAACTACACTATCTTATTACAATTTATTTAAACAAAGGAGATATTTCAAGATTATATAATGCTCGGTGCCTTTTTACGCAGTTTATTTTTAAACATAAGTTTATTTTTATTTTATACTTAATTAAAAATTGTTTTCCACAAAAAACGCCAAATTAAATTGTGAAAAAACCAGTTATTTCAATTTGAAGCAACTGCGGATCGATTTTGATAATATTTCTATGGTATATAATCTGTAAGTATATCCTTACAGATAAAAAATATCAAAGTGGTTTGTAACTGATCTAGTTATGAGATAACAAATATTAAAAAAAAATACAAACAAATTGAAAACCTCCTTTTTTTCGAAGTCAATTGAAAATTTAAATTATACTCGTAACCAGAATCAAAATATGGTCCCGAATGGTCCCGAAACTAGTCGAACCTACTCGACTAAATTACCAATTATTACATTAAAATAGATCCAGACTAATTAATTTCGCTGTTTAATTACCTTATTGTACCTTCAATCATGATGGCATAATACGTGACAAGACGTAACAAATGTAAGTAAGAACGAAAATATTTGAAAAGAATCAAAATATATGACACAAACAACTCTTTCTTATTTAAAAAAAAATACAACCCATTATTAGTAACTGATACTTACTCACTGATAATGGCTAGCTTTTCGTCTAGGTGAAAAATTTTTTTAAAAAAATTGTTGAAATATTTTTTTTATCTGTATCTATTACTAACAGCCCGTTCCAGCTACATACAATTTTTTTTAATAAAAAAATAGTACCGCTTTGAATCAGATTTCTATAGGTAAACAAAATTTTATTTTTTTTACTTTTTAAATGTATACTAGCAAAACTAACAAAAGGATCAAATATTTCCTCTTTATAATATTAGTTTATAAAAAATACTAATTAAAAACCAATTAAATTAATGTTCTCCACTTTTCCTCATAACCCTTGTAATTACAAACCCTTATTAATTTCATCCACCTTCATAACCTGCTAGAATTACTAGTTGTCCCAAAATAATTTAATATCCTTACTAGACATGGCCATAAATTTATTTGCGTACCGGAATATGATTATTTTCCGGGTTAAAAAAAAATATATATATAAAAATTCTATACGCATATAAAATTTCACCGTGTGGTCCCGGCATAGAATTGGCTAACCCTTTTTCTCCCGTCTGTAGTCGTAAGAAACGACTAAGGGAGATCGAAGAATGAATAGCAGCGTCCTTCTTAAACACCTCTAAAGCCTTAGTGCAGTTGCCAATCCGTCTGCCAAGCGTGGCAACTACTGGCAAAACACTCTAAGGGGGAGGCTTATGTTCAGCAGTGGACAGTTAAAGACTGATATGATGATGTTGACATGATATAAAATCTCATTACTATTGATTAAAATATGTCATCCCATATGAATGACGTACCTCATGATCCCGCATCGATAACGAATCTGATTCGTTATCCCATATGGTTAACATTTCCATCCTTTTCATCCCCAAGATATCATCGTGGATAAAGGAAACACTATACTGAACCAACTTTAGAAATTATTTACTATATTACTAAAATTAATTCAGTATAGTGTTTCCTAGTGTAAAATTAATGGATCAGGTTAAGGAACCTGGAGGTAAAAAACTCTCTTTAACATTTACAATATTAGCAATACTACTAAGGATTCTTAGTGAGAAAATTCATTAAGATGTTCTTACAGGAATCCCTTCAACTGAATAAAGTTATAATATCCTAATCAGAATTTATGATATATTCTGACATTTTTTTTAAATTAATATTTTTACAATTAATTTCACTTTCCATGTCACTGCCAGTAGCAGTAATAGCAGACCCCACAAAACCAATTCACTTTATCGATTACTTTATACTCGTAGCATTTTATGTGTTTCTATAGATTGATATAACTTTTTTATTTATGAACTGATTGAAATGAAACAAACACTAAACGTTAAGTGGAGCAAATCGCAATTCATTAGTAAAAACCGTGTTCAAATTGGTTAAGCCATTTCTGAGATTAGCGTGCACAAACATACAGAAAAACAGACAAAATTCTAAAATCAATTGTTTTGGGTTCTATTGCGTTCACAAAGCCCCTCTATAATAGTTTTTCTTATATATCTTCCATGTACAGACAGCGACCAGGTACAATTTTATTACATGTATTGATGTGTGTTGATTTTCGAAAATTCTGTTTGCTCGTGCGAAGCCGGGTCGGATCGCTAGCGTAATAAATTTTATATTAATTTATTAACATCATAGATTAACTCCGTTGCCATACTGTGAATCGTTTCATCTGTACAATTGAATAAATCTACTGGTAGATATTATTGAGCGTATTATTAAGAATACGCTGCGTTAGAAATAATTCTCCAACAGTAAAGGCATCTATAGCACTTTGACATTGTTTTATAGATCAAAATAGTAATCAAAAAACAGGTTTGCAAACAAAAATGATAAAACTCTATAAGGATACATCGTCACAAAAATAATATGGAACCAAAAAAAGAGTAGAGTGATGCATAAAAATTGTAAAAATAATGACCACGTCATCTAGTACCAAACTAAGCAGAATTTGTACTATGGGTACTAGACAACTAATAGACATATTACCGAAATACTGTTTTATAAATACATGTATATCTAAAAACACCTAGATCAATACAAACAGACATACTTATGAAGACAAATATTTGTATTGTTTAAAATTGAAATCGAACCTGCGGTCTTCGAAATGTAAAGTGATGTGTAAAAATGCTAAACGAAGACCGTCAAAATCTTTTCAAAATTGGCAATATAATTGCATTAAAAGTCTCCGTCTTTTTAAAAACGTTTAAAAATAATACATTATATCCATTTAAGACATCGTTTCCTGCACCTAAATAAGTATTACGGACCTATTGTCTTTTGCTTTATAGACATTTTCCATTCTAAGCTCAGATTTTGTGTAATACTTTGCAATAATATGATAATATTCTAAATATATAATATTCCAAATATATAATGTAACAGCACCCGACTTCAGGGTCCCATTGTAACTCGTTTAATAAACCGGACCGAGTTAACGCGACATTGTTAACGAGATCAAAGTATTTGTGTAGGACGCTTAAATTAACGCTAATCTTGTTTAGGCTTTATTCCAGTTACAACAAATTAAATTCCCTGTTTCAGCATATTATAATGTAGGCACTGAGGTGAAATATATAAAATAACCCAGGTTCTAAGTTAATGAAAATGTCGTATAGGTATTTGTGACACAGTTTCATTCGTCTGCTCCGAAGTTAAACATACAATTTTCAATGGAAATGTCAGAGCAGTATCATGTTGAGTATATACATATATTGCCAATACGAGCTAATTTATTTTATGTATATTTTTACTATTTTACGATTACTGAAATATATTTTTTATTGAATAGGTGTTACACCAAAAACTTTACTATAAATTTATTTTTTCGAACCTGTTTTTTTTTTACTAATTTGTATTTAATTATTATCTTATATATATATATATATATAATATTATTAAACAGCACCATTTTGTACACTATATACTTTATAATATTTCTTTGAATTCCCTGCAATAAAAATAATAAGATTGTTTAGCCAATGATTTTATGGCATTATATTTTCATAATGTACTTATATAAATTATGTATCTTCAGCCCAAGTTCTTTGCGGGGTAAGCAAAGAGATACCAATACATGTAATAGTTCTTAAGATACGCTACACTACGATTTTATATAAATAAATATTTATTGAAAAAGACAATTTGATTTTG